AACACCTTGGTGTTGGATGGATGGATGGATGGATGGAAGATTGTAATCTTTGTGCCTCATGGGCAGACAGCCCCTCTGTGGGAGGCAAAATTCTGTCTGGGTTATAAGAGATCAAATACTTATTTCACTCAATCATATGAAAATCAGTTTATCAGTTTAACTTTTGTGTAATGTTTTTTTTTTTTTCTTAATTCTTGGCTAAAATTGTGTCTCCCGCCATTAAAATTAAACAACAAATGAACAATAAAAATAAGAGACTGTAATTATTTTTTCTATAAGTGAGCAAACTTACAAATTCAGCAGGGGTTTAAATAATTATTTCCTACAATGTGATTCATAACCTGTTCTGAATTTCCCATTAGTTAGATCCCTGATTATTAGGCCTATAGGTCTACTTAAGACTGAAAACAAAAGACTAAAGGCTGAAACCTTGATAGCCTTGTTTTCTTTATCAGCACATCTAAACTTTCTGATACTAGCAGATTTACATCTCAAACCCACTTTAGATTATTCTCACTTTAAATTACCAATTTTGTGAGTAATACTATAATACTATAATACTAGGTCATACAAATTTTAATCAGCTCTAACTGACAGAGTTTACTTCCCTTTGTTCCCTGCAGTCTTCAGTTATAAAACTGGAATTGCAAAATGGGCTGTTACCATTGTCATTATTATCATCTTTAACATTGTGCTTGGCTAAAAGAAAGGATCGAATTGGATAAACCCCTGCCCGGGCATTTCCTGCTCTCAGTTTATATAAAACAGGGAATAAACACAAACACAAATTATGTTGGAAACCTGTTCTTTCTAAGGAATGTCACACTGTCTGGGGATTGGTCAATCGCTGGAATGTTGCTCATCTGGCCCATCGAAACATACACACTTATACACGTACAATTACCTCACCCACTTGTCATAATTCAGACACACCCAGCACTCTCACCCATACCTGTACAACTGACGTTCCAAACGACTGTTTTGGGGTGAGGATGGGATAAACAAACCCAAATAAATATATGTAATAGTTTTAATGAAAACTCTGATTTTGAATTGCAACCCAGGATTTTCTTTATAGTGCAGATTTTCCTCAGATTCCTCTCAATCCCAGGTGTTATCAGTGTTCCCCTAATAATTCATCTTCCCATGCTTCAAAACTGAAACATTTCACCATGTTCTACCTTTACATTTTCTATATTTTCAGCCTGTTTCATTAAAATTTCCTTGACCCACTTGTAACATTTAGAATATGTGCTTCATTAGTCTACAGCGATGAAAGGGCAGCGGGGTCGACCCTGTCGAAATGGGTTTCTGTGTTGGGAAACAAGCTGTAAATCTCACACCACAGACATGTAAGGTGCACTCAGGCATGTCACTGAACCCCCAGGTGTACTCTGCAACTCAGATAACCCACATAAAAATGTGGTTAAACTGCTCTAAGGTGCTTTTGGAAAAAATCTTTAAGAACATCTTGTAAGCTGAAATGACGCCAACATGACGCCAACATGAAAAAAAACAAGAAAAAGGTCCTCAGGTTTTCACCTGCATTACAAAAAAGGCCCGCGGGGGGAGAAAAAAGTACTACATTTGCTGTGAGTCACTGAAGTGAGGGCAATTTTTTATTTATTTTTATTGGCAAACCTCTCAACACCCCATCATTCATCCCCTTATCCATCTTATCCATCCATCCGCTTATCCTTTTCAGGGTCGCCTGAGCCTATCCCAGCTGTCATAGGGTGAGAGGCAGGGTACACCCTGGACAGGTCGCCAGTCTGTCGCAGGGCTAACAGACAGGAACAGACAACCATTCGCTGTGCGGCAACAGTGCTAACCACCGTGCCACCGTGCATCCCCCCTAAAGTCTTCCTTAACACCAAGTGTATCATATTTGTGAAGTTATATGTAGATGATGTGTGTAAATTTGTCAGGAAATTCAGGCTTTACAGGGTTAATATGTTTCTGCAAACGACCACAATCACACTGACATCACTACAAAACTTTCATTCATTTCACCATTGAGCTCCGAGGCCTCCAGCCCAAGTGCATGGATAAAAGGAGGGTCTGAGGTGACTTAACTTCTACCACTCAATACCATTAAACATATTTGCAACAGTAACTAGACTGTATCCTCTTTGTTCCAGTGTCTCCCAGTCTCAAGCTTCATTTATACGCTATATGATCTACTGTGACGTCACTATCAGTTTATCCCACAGCTTTTCAGTCGGGTTGAGGTCTGGGCTGACCGGGTAATTGCAACTTCTTAACACTTTTTTGTTTTTCAGCCATTTACTCCGTAAGCCAGTAATTTGGCATACGGAGGAGTTTATGGTCGACTCAATGAGTGCAAGGTGCCCAGGTCCTGTAATCCTTAACCTCCACCACCGTGCCTCATAGTTTGTCATGTTCTTTTTAGAAAGCAGATGCTTTCTTCTGGGAACTCTTCCAAACAAGTCATACTTGTTCAGTTTTTTCAATCTTTCTAAATGTACTGTCATGAACATTTTTAACATGTCTGATAAGTAGCTCTAGGGCTTTTTCTCTGAGCAATGCACAGTCTGAGATTTGGGGAAACTTAATGGGTTGCTTTCTCCTGTGAAGATTGCGACATCATGTTACCATACACCCGAATCCTTCAAATCAACCAAATCTTCTGCTTTTACAGGCATTTCTTTTTTTTTTTTCATTTCCTATTAGGCCTACTGACTGGTCCTTTCAAAAGACTCCTAGAAATGCTC